GACCTTCCCCTAAATTTGCCTCATCGAATTCGGAACATCAATTAGTGAGAGGACCCGCTACGGTCGCGAGAAGATAGTGGGGAATTTTCCCAAGTTGTGTCTCGCGGATCAGAGTTCCTTCTACGTGGCCGCAACCGAGCAATGGCCTTGGTTGCTCTGCTCATCCTCACTGCATTCTCTTCTCGAGGTAGTCTTCTTCGGTACAACTTAATTTTCAGCTTTCCGTGGAAGCCTAGCATCGGAAAACAATTAACCAGAGCGAGATACGGAGAATAAAATGAAAAACGATACAGCGAGAGATTCCGCTAATTGTTCAGAATTATCTCGCCAGCAGGCGCGATAAATTCTAACACTCTTTGTCTGGTGTCGGGTGTTGGTGACTCATGGGCGTCAGCGGAGTCGGGCTGGCTCTCTTGAGCTGGTCGAGGCAAGCCTGGTGCATGTCAGCGAAAAGGGGCACCGTTCCCATATAATTGCTCAGAGTACCCGCTTGTCGTTCAACCCTTTGAAATTCCTACCCGTGGCTAAGGGCGTACCACCGACACCGTCAACAACAACAGTGGCGGCTCCACGAGGAGCTCGCCGTGGTCAGTAGGGCCGTCGTATCGCTCGTGCATCTGTTTGTCCGACCGTATGTCCGTTCATCACGAAGGCCATCGGGTCCCGCATTGCACTAATTTCTGTTCCGTGCCTCGAGACTCATAAAATAAGTCCTATTTTCCTCCAGCAGTGACAGTCAACGCTCACAAGCACGTTCACAATCGGATAGCGTCGAGTGAAGGGTTCACGCGTATTACATCTGCCAGGCTCCCATTAGCAACGACTCATCGACGTGCCCACCTCGAACTTCCCATTCCATGTTTGATGCTATCATTTTTCGAATAGTTCGCTTCATGGGTCGATCATAGTAATTTTTCGAAAGCTATGATGATTGCAGAGCTCTGGTGCCTTGCAGGTACTCAGAGAATTTCCCCGGGCTCGTTCTAAGGGATTTTCCTGGATAGAATTCAACAATTCTCGTCGCTCGGGCACCAAGCTCCACGTTCTCGATATCATATGGAGATATCTTTCATCGTGCCATCTCCTCGAGCTTCACTCCTTGCCGGGCCCCCATCTCCAACTGGAGACGTCGGGGCGACTAATTTGGACCAGGGCGCACGCGTCTATCTAAGGCAGAGGTGGAAGCGAGAAGTCGTGGAAATGCTCTGAGTTGCGCTTGGGAAGAGTAATCCGGGCTGACGGCTTGCTCGCCCGTCCATCCGATAGAAAGCAGGCATTCTCGCTTAAGCTTTGTCTTTTGTCGTCGACGTTGCAATTTCCTTTGCAGAGTACGTAACAAACGTAAGGTCTCCTTCTTTCCCGCTCAATCTCTTCCTCGCTCGCCCGAGTTTTCTTCCTCGCCCTGCAGAGAAGCTGTCTGGGAAGACGAGACGGTGGGACGGGACGCCGGGACGTAAAGCAACGTTACGTAATGAGTCCGCGAGGGAAAAAAGAGTGCGAAGAGGAAAGATCCGTGTGTTCCTATTGCCTCTTCGTTCCTCCGCCGCGACGCCCTTATCTTCGCTGATGAACGTTTCGAGTTATCAAAGACACCCAAACCTTGCCCGTCTCCCTCGGAGGAGCAACGACCGTGGGGCGAGCGGCCGACGAATTCGGAAGAGAAAGATCGCTCGGCCAGGGGAAGAGGAAAGGAAAAGCACGTTCCATCGACACCTGATCCTCCCTCCGACCAATGTTCGATGGCCAATTACGGAGCGAAGATCTATGGTCCTTGACGAAAGCATACCCGGAACAACCCCACGGCCAACCTCTCTACGGACGTTCGAGGGGTGTACTTATCTACAATTCCATCGATCTATCTATTTACGACTCCATCTATCAATCCGAGTCTCCGTCCGTTCGTCCATCCGGCGATTCGTGGTTCGACATCCCGAGTAGTTTCCCTCCCGAGGAAACTAAAAACCACAAGATAGGGCGCGGCACTCGAGTCGAGTATAATTATTGGCGAAGGGAGCTGAAATAACTCGATTCCAAAACAAATCCCATCGTGGCGCGCCGAGAGCTCCGTCGTCAAGTGTGTCCTTTTGGAGGATCTCGATAAATAGAAAAGGATGTCCTCGAACCGCTGTGACTCACTCAATCACTAAGTTGGCTCGTGAGCAAAAGCAGGTTTTCGCAAGCGAAGGGCTACGCGGAAGTCTTCGGGGAACGTCAAGAGGAGTCGTGCCCCGCTCTATCGGTCGGCTGGAGTGTTCCTGAAAATATCGGGCTACCGACGTGCGAAATCCCCGGTCTTTGAAATTCCTGAGCGGTGTACAGGAAAACCCGCGAATCCGTCTCATCAGGCCCTGCAGTGGCGGACGAGCCGATCATCCCGAACTCCCTTGCTCGAGCTCGAGTACCGAGAACCAAATGAACTCGCTATCTTTCAACGAGAGTACGTATTTATACGTTGTTGTTCGCGGACGGAACTCCTCTATCGGGAACCCTCATCCGATTCTTGAAAGCAGACGCGGATCGAAGTCGTTGTTTAATACAGCAGGCTCCCACGGCTCCCAAATGAGGGTTCTCGTTGTCGTGGAAAAAAGAGATTCTAATCCTTAGCCGCAATCGATCAGGTCTGTTTGCCGATCTTTTTCTCTCTTGTTTTTGTGCTTCCGACAGCGGTGTCCATTCGTCCGTATCCGCTTGGTCGACCATCGGTCGGCGGTGGATTTACTCGTTCAAGGGTTTGTTTGCGGTAGCTTCAACCGTACGCGGTCCTCGATTCAAAATCCTCCACTCGTCGGGGATTACCAAGCGGTGCCGACACACAACTGCGGCGACGACCGAGGACGGCTCACTGTAGCGGTTGCAAACGAAAATCGTGGATAGTCCTTCAATTCAAGCTCGTATTTCTTGTGGCTTTTTTTCGCCGCATCGTCTCCCCAACTCCGGAATCCTCCTCCTTTTCTGCTCTATCTAGACTTCTCCGAGCGCATTCTAAGCCTAGCGCAATAGACGTCGCTGCTTGTCGAAACGCTCGGTCGCATGTCACCAGAGACTGCGACCATCCTGATGGATGTGCTTTGCGAAATTCCCGAGCTTGCGCTCCGAGAGATCCCGAGCGTTGATCGTCCGACGTCCGGGACCGTCATCCAGAAAGGCGCGGTCCAAGAATCTTCCGGGAATCTTCTTTCTCCCGTTACTGCTTATGGACTCTCCTGAAATTCGAGAGAATCGAGAAACTGGAGGAAAAAAAAAGATTCGCTAGGGTGAAATCGATTACGATTCGGTCATGGGGCTAGATTCGAGCACGGAGTCGTTCGATGACCGTTTTTTTATGACGGAGGGATTCTCTTCGGAGAGACTTCTGACACGACCAGCACCCATCTTGCTCCGAACTACTTCATCCGTAGAGCTCGTGGACATCAACAAGGCGCGGAACGATAAAATCACACGTGATTTACATTGGAACATAAAATTGTGGCTGCTTCTCTCAACCGAAGTATAAGAGTGGCTCGCGAAGCCGGGGGACCACGACCAAGTCGACGATTCTCGTCCACGAGCCATTAACAACGAGGGACGAAAACAGCGGAGCGTAGCAAAGCTTCGTTTTGAACAGCAGTTGTCTCCTGTTAACGGGGGTGACGTAGCTTTCTCGTACCGTGCTTCCTGTCGCGGCGTAGAACATTACGTCTACTCCGTGACTGTTGTTGCTGTTGCTCCGCCTAATAGACCCTCCAACAAATGGCTTCCGGATCGAACCTCGAATCAGGTTCGGCTGACGTGTACTCCACGCGTATGGCTCCTTAATTAGTCTCCACGAAAAGTCGTATAGTTTCAACGAAGCAACGGTAGAGACGAGTCCGGAGATGACTAACACTGATCACGAACGAAGCTGAAGCGGATATCGTCTTCGATTCCAGAAGAGAGATTCTTGCCTGGAGCTCTTCCCACCCGCTAGCGTATACGACCTGACCGTCCGAGGGGTCGTCGCCAAGTTCTAGAATTCTAGACGATTGATGGATCTGTAATATGAAGCTCCAACCGTGCGACTCCTTGGTGCTGGCAATCATTCCCGGATTCATTGATCTGCTCCGTGAGCTCGCGGAGCGACGATCTCAGGAAGACCGTGATATGTTTTGCTCTGATTCCGCTCAAACCTTCGATATCTGTAGCGCTCAGCAGGCACCTCTCGGAGCCGCCGAGGGGCGACTCGCGAAACTAAGGCGATATCGCCGCTTCACTGTCTGACCATCCAGAGCGAGCGACTGCGGAAGGTTTGACTTATCTGCTACCAACCTGTGATGAGTACTCGAGGGCATGGTGCTCGAAGTTCCCGCATCGTGCTACAGGGGTTCCAAGTTTGTGTGCACACTCAGGATTAAGTTCCACCGAGTACACACATCCATTATCGAGATCTCATGAGCGCTCCTCAGAGTCTCCGAATCAGTCTTCAATGAAAACTATCGACGCTGACCTATACTGCCAGCTGTCCCAAAGTCTAGAGCCCTTAAGGAAGGAGATGCTTCACTGAGAAATCTCCGGGGGGATATCGTACGAATTGTGTTTCAGGAATCAGGAAAAATTTCGAGTTGCCGATCGTCACAGCAGAGGTGTCAGCCTTCAGTTTGAAATCTGAGCAGCTGGATTTTCCTCATCGCAGCCTTCGGAAGGTGCAAGAGGATCAAGGGACCTGAGCGAGTTGTAATTCTCCTGAACGGGCAGATTATTCGGTCTCTTCGGGGTTCAGACACTCGAACGATCCTATCAAACTCATTATCACAACGAGGAAATCCTCGAGGCTCGGCTTGATCCACAACCTGCATAAAATTTTCAGGTCCCCCTCAACGATTTTTCTAACAATTTTTTTATTCCTGACTTCGATGCTCACAATAAATCTTCCCTAGGGAAAACGTGTCGGCAGACAATCGTGTTTACGATGTCGTGGGAGCCGAGTCGTCGAGAACATGTGATTTTGTGTGCTGTGTTGAAATGCAACTACTGCCCGTGTCATCTCAAACCGCAGGCCAGGCGTCGAGTAGATCCTCATAGGTTCGGGATCGACGTCTTCCGCGGGGCATCGCAGGCGGCTCCGGGGGTTCCTCTCCATTAACTCCCAGTGATTCGAGTCTTGCTGGTTTCCTTATGAAGAAACCGCCCTCGGGACTGATGGTGCCTGATGCTGTCGAGGAAAACGACGATTCAAATCCTTCAAGGTCCGGAGTATCACTTTCTAGTCGAATAACCTCGATCCGTATTAGGTACAGATTTATCAAGCTGAGGGTAAGTGAGGTTACTGACCATGTTTCTTGCTCGGCAAAGATCGACTGCGGGTAGCCACGACGGCTGCACCTAAGAGACCCTGTCCGGTAGTGGTGAGAGCTTCGAGACCTTTGTTGGTGGCTTCTTTGTTGAACAAATTGTTTCGGTTCACTCTCTCGTTGTCGTTATTGTTCAAATCATCTTTCTTGTTCGCGACACCGTTGGTCAACCCATCGAACCAGCCGTTCATCAGAGTCCCATTGGTTTTTCCCGTCGGGCTGCCTCCATTGCTCTGTTTGTTGTCTGGAAAAGTCGGGTAAGCAAGGCTAATTTCTCAGCAGCTCTGGTACTGAGAGCGACCGTATCCGGTCACGGAATAAAGAAACATGCGGAGGCAGGATACTCACTTTGGACATCTGCGAGAGGGAGTTTGGTGTCTTCCAGTATTACTTCGGGAATTCTCCAATTCTGGATGTCTTCGTCCCATACGGCTTGTGCTTTGATCTGCTTCAAGTTCGTGTAGTTGCAATCTCTCCGGATGCAGTTTTGCACTTTCTCTAAGATTCTCATCTGCAGCTTCATCTGTTTCTCTTGCCGACGGATGGTGTCCAAGTAGTCGGTACGTTCTCTCTCGAACTCGCTCTGCAGGTCCCGAATTTCGGCTTCCAGACTCTGTACCTTCTTCTTCGCCTTCTTCAGCGAAGCTGTCTTCGTTTCGAGCTGAGCGTTCATGTCCTCGTAATCGGGCAAATTATTGTCCTCGGTACCGTCGATTCGGGCCAAGACTTCGGCCATTGCGCGGATTCTCTTCTCGGCGTAATTCTTCCGTTTCTCTCGCTGCTTCTTGAGTTCGACGTCGTGAGCTTTCTCGCCACCGACAATCTTACTCTGGAGTTCCTGGAGTCTAAAGCGAAAAAGAAATCGAGTGAGCGAAAATTTTTCCTTCCAATGCCCGATACTTCCGCGAGTGACCATCTCGTATCTACTCAAGCTCCTAGAATATCCTGAAAATGTCATATTCACTAGACGGGTATTCATTAGCCCTCCTAGGAAGGGATGGAAGAGATACAGCAACCTTTGGAGCGCGGTACTTTGCATTTGTTCCATCAGACCGGGCTCGCTGGAAATGAGACAATCGAAAAAACTGTTGAGCCTTTTAAAATGCTTCTCAGGACGACGTGACCGTAATCGAGGAAGCTGGATTCGTATGTATGTGTGTAGCGATCAGCTCGGAGTGAAGATGTACTCACTCTTCGATCTTCTCAACGCCAGCCGCATCCTGGATCACATGCTTGATTTCAGGGCTGTCCCTGACATTGCCGGTATCGTCTTTTTCTTGTAGCTTACGCTCATAGAATTCTTTGAGGTGATTCATATCTTCGAGGAGCTTGTTCTTGGCCAACTTCTCCTGCTCGCACTGTTGCTTGAGGACTTCGATTTGAGTTGTTACCTTCTCGTCTAGAGGGAGATCAAGCACTCAATCATTTGCCACGTTACATAATGAATGACGCTCGTCGAGCCCGTATGATTTTCTTTCTTCACTCATCCTTATGGGTAAGTCGTTCCTTCCGGGGCTTCGTCCTACCTTTCGCGTTATTCGGAAGATTCTCCTTTGATTCCGACGGAGGTCGCGAAGGTGGTTTCGACGCGACCTGATCCACGAGCAATTTCTTGAGCCGCTCGAGTTCCTCTTTATACTCTCGGAGCAAAGCGTCTTTCGGGTCTTCGTTTACTTTCGGTTTGTTCTTGATGTTTTTGGCACGGTTCGCGTATCTATTGGAGGAATAAATTTTTTGGTGAGTCCAGTGGTCTTCGTTCCGTTCGGAAAGTAAATTTCCATTGACCCCCTCCTCCAGATACTCGTGGTCGGATCGAGGAAAAGACTTTCACCTGAGTGTGCTGAGCGTCTCGTCGTAATTGTTATCAGCAGGGGACAAGCATGCGACCATCAACGTCTTCGTGTTTCCCCCCAAGGAATCCTGGAGAAGTCTCGTGAGCTTTGAGTCTCTGTATGGAATATGTTTCGACTTTCCATCGACAAGAGCCGAGATGACATTGCCCAAGGCACTCAGACTCAGATTGATCTTCGTCGCTTCTTTGAGCCGGTCGCCCGTGGCTCCGGTTTTACACTGCCGTTCGCTTCCGGCTAGATCAACCAGATTGAGTTTCCCCTTCTTGATGTGTTTCCCGCCAGATGTCTCCATTTGTTCAACGTGAATCGTGAAAATCGAGTGGCTCCGGGAGGAGTCCGCGTTCATCAGTGTAGCTCCTACGGAGCGGTTTTTCCAGCCCTGCTCCATGACGGTTTCGCACTCGGATACGCTGTTCACGGTATGCAGGGAGAGGCCTGGTCAAGGAGCGGGAAATCATTAAACTCCATCAGATCAATCTCCTCGATTTTTCCTGATCGATCATCGACCGGTTTGTCTCGAGGTGAACAGATCCGACACTCACCCGGAATGTATACGCCGGTGTCTGGACGTTCCTTCATGTCGCATTTCTTCTTCGGGTCATTCGATAGCAGATCTCTGATTTCCTCATTATAGATCTCGAGGTACGAAGCATTGACCAGATATTTTGTGTTTGAGGCGGCTGCTATCGCTTCGAATATATGTTCGAATGACCGAGGAATAACTCCTCTCTGAGTTGCTGGGCTCGCTACGCCTTGCATTGAGAAGGATTTGCCACATCCCGTTTGACCATAAGCGAAAACCGTTCCATTGTATCCCTCGGTGACACTCTGAAAACATCGATATGTACTTCGATTGACGTACTGCCTAAATAAATTTCAATCCGTCCAGTTGCCCCGCTTGTGAAGCATAGCTCATGCGATTCAGCGATCTATGGAATGTTTTAGTCTCGAACATCGGTCCCGGAACTTTTCCGGTCGCCGGAAGCGCTCGGCACTCGGATTACCTCAACGATTGGGAACACGATGTCGTTGTATATTTGTTCCGTCGTCGAGTTATCTCCATACGCGCCGTCGAAACTGAAGCATTTTGCCGGGGAATCGGGCTCTGCGGGGTTCGTCAATGTACACTGCGCGTTTGCGCTATCCATTTTCACGATGGACTGGAAAATTGAAGGAAAATTATCTCTTGTGTTCGGAAACACCCTAGTCCGCTTTGCTCGGATCCCGGAAAAAGAATCCCCACCTCTTCCCATTGACCATCCGAAAGTACCCTGTCGAACACGAAATTGAACTCCCTCACGAATCTCCTCCTCCATATTCGGTTGGGCGCTTCGACAGATTTCGACCGCCGTTTTGTCCCCGTTTCACAAGGCCATCTACCCGCGGTATTCGAGACTTTCATTACAGCACCGAGGGTGCCAACGCGGAACTGGCGCGGCGCCGCGTCGAGCCGCATCGATAGCGCGTATTGGTGAGGGTTGGCGTGCTCGGAAGGCAGCCGACGGCGAGCATGTCGCAAACCGGCTGCGCCGACAAAACGGGTCAAGGAACATCCAACAAGTCTCTCTAGATGGCCTCGACATACTTACGTATCTTGATTTAGCACCGCCGCAATACACATTATGCTCGTCTCGAATTGATTTGACTCTCGGAATAATTGATCGCCTCCCAAGGAGACAAAGTTGAGCGACGCAAACTTCGTGCTCCTCCGAACGAGATGATCATTAGAAGCTCAATTTGTCACCGCGTTGGCAACGAGATATTCTCTCCAGGCATTCTTTTGAGCGAATACCGCAGACGGATCTCGTCGCGGAGTGTCCGGATAATCCAGAGCGGACATTTTAGATGTCCTGCGTAACCGACTCCGGCCGGCCGCGGCAGGACCGAAAGAGTTTCCGATCAAGAGTGAATCTTTGCGCGAATTTCATCGTCGTCTTACCTGGCATTTCAATGTCTTCTCCCGGGTGTTCATGGGACGACATCGCACAACGACGTGCACGCTCTCCATCGGGATCCTCCTGGAGGAAGATATCGGGAAACACGAGTTATGAAGAGATTAGGGTGCGAAGATTTCTCAAATTATGAAATCTTATGTCGCTCGATATTGGATTGATTGTGTGTGATGTACATAATAGGAGAACTTCTCTCGAATATCCCGAAAGGGTCGAGACATCCTTCAGGAGGGGAGTGTAAAGACTAAGAGCAAACGAATCCGTTCCGAACCCCGTCAAGGGTCAGATTCAACGAGAGTAAGATGTGGATCGCCTCTTGAGATTCGAGAGACAACCGATGATATTCCCCGACAGGTATCTCCGAGCATCTCGTGAGCTCACAATTAGCCCGCGATCTGTCGATACACCGGAATGCATCGATGAATCTGGCACGAGCCCCTGCTACCTCAATGGCAGTCATGGAGACGCCGAGGACCTGTCTTCGCTCTTCGGCTCCATCAAATTGGATGCAGAACGTCGCTCAAAGGAGAGTTCCCGGAGCAATCCAGAGCATCGCGTGTGTGGGACCTCTGGTCGATCAAGTCCCGAGGTATCCTCAAAAACAAAACAGAGGTGGCAAACAGAGGACGGTCAAGTTTCGTCTCGAGAGCACCTCTTCTCGTAGAACCTTCCCCTAAATAGCCCGAGATCCTCCTGGATATCGTCGCAGGGATTCTCGGGAGCCTAAATCACGTTATTCACGAGCGTGATCTCGATTTCCGAGGTCTGAGGCGGGATCTTGCCGACCCGGGGCGATGAACTCGGCGGTATGGATCCTGACTCCTGGACCCTGTCATCGATATCATACATCACATTACCGCTCAAACATGCGTTCGACGCTTACAACTTGTCGAGGGCGGATTCGAAACTCGCATTGATTTCCAGTGCGTGTTTCTCCGGTCCGACCGGTACGAGCTGTTGAGCCTTGACCCCATTTTCTTGTTTATGCATTACCTGTCCGAGTAGATTGAGCGATTCGTGCCAGGCTCCTGACGGAGACTCGAAAATTCCGAGGAATAACCTTGAAGCTCTCACGTCAGAGTCTTTTATCGATCGGACAGCGCAACCTTAGTCTCGATGAACGTTCGCCGCAAAGATAGATCATGTTTTTACCGTCTCTTTCGGGAATAGTCCACTCAGAGGTGTGGAACTCATTCCCATCGCTCGAGCTCGCAGAGAATAATCTTAATTCCTTCAGTCGGAATACATTCGGCAGTGTTTACCGACTGCCTGCGCGAGGCGGTCGATTGTCAATACGCACGGATTCGAAGGAGCACCGGAACGGGGTCTTCTGCCGTCAGAAAGCTCCCGTTCGTGTCGGGGAGAACTCGCAGAAGTGGGATTTCAGTCGATGCACAAATCGTCTTGACGAAACGGTTGCACGTCAAGAAGACGACTAGAAGTCTCCGTGTTGTCGTCATCGCCGCCACCAACATATCGATTGGTTTTCAAGGACAACCACAGAGACGTCGAATAGAGCCGCGGCAGGATCGTGCATGGGTCACATAAGTCTCGTAGGATCCCCGCTAGATGTCATGCTCGATTCTGATTTTCACGGCCTACGTCTGGATTTTATGGCCTCGAACGGACCATTACAACAGTTAGTTGAGTATCCCAAGCAGATCAGATCCAGACGACATTGACTTGCTGAAGCTCTCTACCTCAACGAGTGGAGTCCATTAGGGACTTGACGGATCTCATGACGTAAGATCCTTCAAAACCCAAAAGCGTCGGAAATCTTCGTAATGGATCAATCTGGAGAACGGCGAATCTTTTCACGGTCAGCTCGATGAGCCAGCTGCATGGAGACGCTCCAAACTCTCAGCCGAGAACTCGAGTATGAAAATGCCGTGAGGAGCTGGAGCAGAGGAAGTTCTACGAAAGAACCTTCGGCGGGGTCTTGCAAGAATGAAAGCAGATCTGTTCTGCGAGGATTCTAGACTTCGATCGATCAATCTTATTGAGTCCGTCTGATTCGAAGCTCCCTATGGTGCGAGAGCTAAATCGTCAGAAGTTTCAGCGCCGATCTGGAGATACATTCTCGCTCTAACTCCGCGCCGTAGATTGCCGAGCGGAAGTATTCTCTAGCTCCACTCGTCGTGGGAGGTAACAAGACACGGAACTATGACTACGATGCTTCGGAATAGTTGCAGGTAAGTAGAGCATCTAACAGCCCCTACTGAAATCTCTCAACCATCCTCCATGATACCTCCCTATTCGGCAATTATCAATACTTAGCACAATGTTCCCACGGTGACTATAACCCAGCGAGCCTCCGGGAGGATTCAGGGTTCCCGGCTCCAAGGGCCGGGAAAGGAGAAAATCTACCTACTTCCCTATCGTGAGTCAGATTCAACGAAGGGGGTTAATCCGGTCGATCGAATCGACAAGCTTACTTGTGGGGAAGTCGTCCTCAAATTGTTCCGGCGAGGCAGAAGATTTACTCACATGCCCACTCACGAGTTGCTCTGAGTTGCGAGCCTCGTGTCGAGTCGTTTGAGCCCACCTGTACTCTCACTCGAGCGGGCCCCGGTTTCCCTCCTCCTTTTTGCCGGGCATACAAAACTGCGAGTTTCCATGGAAACAATCCAATATCTTCCAAACAAATCCCCTGTTTTCAAAGAACATCAATGGATTTCGAAGAGTTTACGCGACCATGTCTATGCAGCCATTCACAGAAACTCTGCGTCGCAAGGTCGGATGATTCAAATCATCGATCGGGGTTCAAAGGAAACGCTGACGTAAACTATTGGCGAGTGTCTCTCCGGTCTCTTGACCTTGAAGATCTCTCGAGACGCCTTCCGATACTCCAAGGAGAAATTTTAATCTTGATCCCCTTGCCGCCGAGCGAGGTCGAAGTTCGGATTAAGATGGATATTCAAGAATGCATATCCGCGAGTCCACTAACTGGAGCACTCGCCGAATTCCGAAGTGGTACATGAGCCTGTCGAGTAGATTTTCAGCGTCCTCGGTCGCTGGAAAGGTTCTACCCCGATCCCCCGATTCTCCATATTGCTCTCGAAGATCATCATTCGAGGCTCTTTTACTGCCGGACAGGAATTGATGTATTCATGTACAGCAGTCTGACGAATGGTTTCGGCGAGCTCCATTGAACGGTAGGTTTTCGGCGAGAAGTGAAACGAGGGAACATTCGAGCCCCGTGCGAGCGTCACGCATTTCACGCTCACAACCACAGCAAACTGCTTTCCATTCGCGACTCGCCGATTATCCAGCCATCAATCTTCATTCTGTGTTCGGTTTCCAGGCGCTATTCTTGAAAGACGGATTCACACGCTTCGCAACGAGCTGCGTCGCTTAGCAGGCGAATGAAAGGCTTGTCGGTCGGTCAGCAGACTGACTGAATGATTGGGCGATCGGCTGACCATCCGAATGCATTAAAGCCGCAACCTTGAAATACTATGCGTGGATAACGTACGGTGTCTCGATTTAGGTTGGAGGTGAACGGCCGACCCAAAACACCGGTCGAACGGAATGAGCTTCATTTTTCACGTTCGAATACAAGCGTATACGGACGAGATGTCCAACCGCTCGATCCTGAGATCGGATGGTTCGATGAAACACGACTGCGCGTGCAGACGAACTCAATTAATTAGGCTGTCCCCAACCAGGTTAGTGTGCCTTGAGAACACCTGATGCCGATTCATACGGATCGTGTGTTCCTCTCCGCATTGAAAAATCTCAAGGGTTCCGAAGTCACTGTCCAACGTGCACAGAGTTGCTCGCGAACGTGAGCGCGGCTGTCAAGACAGGCGGAAAGCTTGGGCAGCGACCCGCGCATCCCGAGCGAGGAAAATTCTAGAAATTCCCACTATCGCTCCCCGATGCGGGACGCGATACGGCGAGCTACTTTCATGGGCTCTATTTCTGTTTTTCCCTGCCGAAAAATGGCTCCAGATCAATTGATTGGAAGAAATTTCCTCGATCAATATGTGAATTTTTCCGTGGAGGCGATCGCGACTTGTGCTCGCAGCCAACGCTGCTCCGGGATCTCAGACTAGATTTTCATCGAGTTTCGATTGTGTCCGTAAACTTTGAGACATACGTGATAAATTGATGTCGTAATACTCATTTATTGAGATGGGAAGGGAAGTGCGGGTAATTCCGCAGCTCCGGTAAAATCTTGCTTCTTCATCTCCAGCTGATCTTCTCTGTCTTGGGAACAAGGAGCAACCTTGTGTTTGCTCCTACCCGTTGAGCCTTTCTCCCCGCTAGGCCTATCGAAATAGAGGGGAAATTCGGTCCTCTTGACTACATTTCCCCGCCCTCTCGGAAATATTGGTGATCCTGATTCAGATCTTCAGCAATGTCTTTCTATGATGTCGGAGCCGATCGAAGTCAATGTTTTCTTGAGCTACGGGAAGTTCCGCATGGCTTATTCGATGTTCGGAAGGTGTTTGAAAGAGGCAAGCACCAGCTTTGACGGAATAATGACCACAGAGATAACATCGCAGGATGGGCAAATGTACCAAAGAATGTTAGAAGACGTAAAACTATCGTTTGAAACGACGTTTCAGCCAACGGTTCTCGGAGCCACGTGGAACGTAAAAGGCTTCGCCACTATATGGGTCCGCTTCATTCATGACTCCAGAAAACTCATCGCGGCTGTCAAACTTTTCCAGGAGAGCGGATAAGGGTGCCCTTGTCAGAGCGGAATCGGATACCTGGTCGGAATTCTTCATGGCCGGAAATCCTCAGATACTTAATTCGCCCCCATCGAGCGACGCCGCGCCGCTTTTCGGAATCCGATGACATGACTCGACAGTAGAGCACTGGTATTTCTCGGAGGAGAGCAGGATACTGCCAATCCATGTCGGCTTACCCCGGGTCTGGATCGGATTAGTTTGCTCCTCTGCGCATGGATGGAAGCATGGGCACAATGAGAACATTGACTCACATTATCCTAGAAAGTCGAGATGCAGAAATGGTCGTAGTGACGAAAGGATCCTCAATAGATCGCCGGGCTTATTCAGAATCGATCGCCCGGCGCAATCGGATCGAGGTGATACGGGTGAGACACTTCACGGAATCAATACTAGAAGTCTGCAATAGGGTCTCCGTATCTTGTGTCATCTAAAGCTTCATGATCTCTCGACACGCTGGAGGGTCGCGGGCAGAAACAGAGGAAGTTCAAGTCTTGACTTCCCGCGACATCAACACGTATGACGTACTTCCTTAAGCGAGTTTTCAGACCCGTTGTTGGAGGTAAGGGTTGTGTGCGACCTACGTCTGTAGAGGAGAGGTTCACTTGGGGTTCAACGCTCGGATAGAGCAGCAAACTCCGACTCAGGCGAGGGTGCCTCGACTCGCGACCGCCAGTGAGATTTTCTGTCTTCATTCCTCGACGGATCTTCTACCCGAAATGTCGCATCCTCATCCGACAGGTTTTTTCTTCCTTATCTTGGGAAGCCGAGACGTGTGTGAAAGGAAAATAATCCGATAGGATTTATAGGACTCACCTATGAACCCGACTCGCCGTCTTCAGAATGTCGGATATCAGGGCATCCCGATTGTCGTATCGGCAACCAATTGTGGCGATGTTATGCTTCCTTCCGAAATTCCGTAGATTGGGAGGCGGACCACCTCTCAATCATTCGCGCTGAACGCGGATTCGGCAGGTTCCGCAATTTTACAGTTGACTCCAATCAAACGTCGATGAGTTTACTCTCGCCCTCCGCGCGATAGTCCGGGGGAAATTCGATTTATCGGATAAATACTGGCGCCTCC